GTCTACCAAACGGCCCAGTCTCGTGTCTATATTAAACGGGTGAACACGTACTGAACTGCCGTATACAACCCCAACTTGTACATGTCCTGGAATAGCAGAATAGTAAACATCACCATCTGGCACTAGGATCATCCGCTTGTTATCGCTATCGCGTAGCGTCAACTTGCTTTGCAAGCCGACCAAGGTGCCAATTTGCTGAACTTTGTCCACATACATTCCACGAAATTGCCGGCAATGAACTCTAGATGAACCTTGTCCTATGGAAAAGTCCAGCTGAAGGCGTGGCAAGTGAATGTTGAGCGTTAATGTAGTTTTGTTAAGGATTAGGTGTATATGAGTCTCCTCCTCTAACGAGCGTAGAGTTCGGCAAATGTGCTTAGTCGTAGGCGAAGTTGGGCAGATGAGGGTTTGTCCTGACTTTTTGAGAATCCATTCAGATCCAGTATTTTCTAAAAACCAGCTTGAATCCGATGAGCACCAGGCCGATTCCACAGGCCGAAACTCAACTACGCCTGATTGGCGATTATACCAGTGAACGTAGTTGGTGATAAAGCTCTCTGGTAAACTAGCGCTCAAGTCCTTGCGGGGAACCAGATCCAGAGTCTCACTATCGTTAGATGCCACAATAATGAGCTGCGGAGGGCTTGAATGATTCATCCCGAATGCGAGGTTATATCCGTGATGCCTTTTCATTGATACGAAGAGCGTCCCAGGAACATCTGAGGGCATCACGTATATCATTTCCCTCCCAAGTAGCTCTTCAAACACTGGGTGCTCCTCATATGACAACGGAAGACGAGATGGCGGCAAGCCGTTGACCAACAATTCTCCAGTTAAAATATTCATCTGAATGAACGAAGAACTTTTGCCATTGCCGGAGGTGGTTTTTGTCTCTAACCAGTGGTATTCATTCTCGGATAATGTTTTCCACATGCCTTTTCCGCTATAAAAAGGGAAAATTTTTTTCACTGCAGGGTTCAATCCTTGATTCATCTTATCAAGAGTCTCGGTTAGAATAAACTCATGCGACCTGTACAAAACGCGTTGTTTTTGCAAGAGCAGATTTGTGTAGAAGGGATCAGTGCATTTTCCAACTCCGTGAGACAGATCCTGTATAATAATGGACGAGTGTATCAGTATATCCATCTGGTCGGCATCTGATAGCATCAATTTCAAGTGCACCTCATCCACATCAAAAGATGCCACGCAAATCAATGCCATCTGCGAGATAATGAGATAAAATTCCTGGCGTTGTTCTTCGCTGTCGTATCCAGATGATTTTTCTTGAAGAACAGTAATCCAGTTCATGGCAACTTGGCGACATCGTCCAAGAAACTGGTGATACCTTTCCTCCAATGTTGCTGTCGGTGAGCAATTCAGAGCTCTTATTGCGATTGCAATAAAGGCTCTCAGTGCTACATAGGACTCCCAGTTTTTATGTATTCTATCCACAGAATGAGATAGGCCTTCGAGAAGCCTCTGAACAAAACAGTCGTCGCAAAGCTGTTGATGGCTGGCCCTAAGAGTAAGCCCATCATATGGTGGACCTGCTTGATCAATTATCTGCATTATTATGAGAGCAGTGTCCGACTTGTTAAAGTCAACTTTGGGCGAAAATAGCTGTACCAGAAGGTTCTCCCACAGAATACGATATCCAACGGGCAAACTAGCCATTGCCTTGGACTCTTCAAGTGAAAGCTCCTGTGAGTAATCACTCTGCTGAGATAAGACATGATTTGGAGTTAATCCGTTTTCTCGTCCGTGTGGTCGGAATATGAAGGCTTGAAGAGCACTTTTTGGTTCCGATAGCTTGAACATATGGCTTTGAGCAAATTTATCTTCGTTTACAAAGCGTGAGACAAAGCATTGGCGAACATTATCGTAATACTCGTATCTTAGGCCATTCTTGACCAAAACATCTTCCACGCTTGTGCATGTTCCGATCTTTTTGCTATGACGATGCGTACGTTTGTTTGACTTGGTTGTTGATGCAAGCTCTAGCCTGTGAGTATCCCCCGTAAAATATGATGAAAGATATGCGCTCAGAGTGTCCACAACCTCGTCACTTCTGGACCCGGAGTAGTCGCACTCTAGGACGTCGTTTATGACTAACGTTGTCATGTTTCTCCATGCCCTGAAACGAGAAGGAACATTCAGTTCAAAGACGGCTGACTGAGCCTCAAGTTCAGCGTCCGGAAGAGGCCACTCGTGGACATCGATGGTAAGTGCATCAGCTTGATCGTCTAAGAGATGCTTTCTGCAGCTCCCACTGTGACTTTTGTATGCTATTCCTGTCGTTTGGTTCACATGTGTATTGTATTCGCATGTGAGACTGGCCGCCTTCATCTTGAGATGATTGTACTGTCGAACTTTCTCATGGTATTCTTGTCGTTTGCGCTCTCTTTCTTCTGTTGCGACTCTTTCAATATCGTTGCGTAGCGTCTGATGAATGGTAGACTTTGCATAACACCGGACCGAGAATGAGGTTTTATGTCCAAACGAAGAAAATATCGAAGACCGTCCAGACAAAGTACCGTGGCATCGCTCTTTAACATACTTCTCGACTACAACTAATCTCTCAAGGTGGTTTCTGGAGTGAAGCAATAGTGATTGCAAGAGCTCAACTGGAATTTCAGGACTGTACTCTTTCAGATCAGGAATTTGGTTACACACAGACTTGTCGCAGGCCATCCATAGCTCCAAGACTGTCAATGATGCAATTGACAAACTTTCTGGACATCCGGTGTAACACTTTCGTGTAAGATCGTAGTACTCCTTGGTCAAATCGTAAAGTTGGCTGCATGCATTCTCATCGTTCTCGGCCTCTCGCATCCAATGAACCAAAGACGACCCAACCCATCTTTCAAGGGCTGATAACTGAAGAATGATGCTCCTATCCGGTAGACTTCTCAAGTTTGGGATACTTGATTGGTCGTACTTGCGAAGTATCCATGGGGCTCTGAACTGATTCATGGATTCTTCATCTTGTCTGGCATCAATGCTGTGAATGAAGGCGTCCAATTTTGGATATGGCTCTGATGCCTCGCTGGGCAATATTTGCATAGAAAAATCCTTCAAGCCTACGTCGGCATCTTTTTCTTCGCATATCAATTCCCAACGTTGCTGGAGGCAATCCCTAGTTTGTTTAAGCGTGCTATGAACGTTTCCAATCCACGGCGCTTGGAAATCGTCGCCCAACTTTTTCAGCCGTCTCCCAATCTTGCTCATCATGCAATGTAAAAGATCACTCGGGAATCCCCTCTTCTGTGCTATATCTAGAGTATACGTCATCAGAAAGACCATAAACTCTTTATAAAGGAGTCTGTCCGAGTGGAGCCGTTCGAAATGTAATTGCAAAGTAACCCGAATCAGAAGCCAGACTGGAGATCTATGCCAGGGCAGCGACGCGTTATTATAGACGACCTCCTCACGAGTGTTTTTCGAGATGGAGGAAGCGGGTATGGTGTCCTTGCTGAAAGCAGAAAGGACGGCGTGAAGAAAATCGGTGACTAGGAAGGGATCCGTTGTATCCCTCTCCTCAATCTGAGATTCACCTTTCTTGGAAATTTTCGGTTTTACTTCAGCAACTTCTTGACAACTCATTTTCTCAAGGGTATCCGTAAAAGCTTGTGCAAAGCCATTTTCACGGAATCTCTTGATGGGAATTGAGATGGCAGATGCGGGAAAACGACGTTGTAGCCGACCGATAGTTCCCATGACAGCTTCATTTGTTGGAGAAAGCTCAAATGTCTCCAGTATTATCGAATCTTGGTTTTTTCCGATGATGATTCCAGCATTTTGAGCGGCGATGTGCAATGGAAGCAGGATACCCGGCTTGAAGTCGATACCCATTTTCTCGAACAGCGCCCACAAGGACACGCCATTATCAGGATTAAGAGAATGCAAAATTTCAGCAAGCTTCTGTCCATCAATAAATCCAGACTCAGCTCTGACGCTTTGAAAGCGAATCATTGCTTTCTCGGCACGATCAACCGCCTGAAGGCGCGTAGAGTTCACGTGGCATCCAAATTCTCGCAGTGCTGAAATGACCAGGCGAAGCAGCGCGCTGTTATCTGATATAGTTCTGCCGCTATCTCCATTGTCAGGAAGCTTTGGAGGGAGGAAAATATGATTGATGATTGATAGAATTGTTCCATTATCGTCGCCGTCAGGAAACTTGTTACTGACATCCATCTTGGGCAATGGCGGGCTGATAAACGTGAGATGAGAGAAGTGATTATCTAGCCGTCAATGATATGTATTATTGGGAGGTTGCGATCGAATATATAATGGAAAAGTGTTTAAGTCTGCTCATAGAGGAGTCATTATATATATATATATATATAAATGCAGGCAACAAAGAGATAAATTGGATTATAGCTATAGGGATCTTACACGCTCTCCCACCGTTTTCAGAGCATAAGAAACTAAGGTCGGAGGCCCCCATTAGCACCATGCAATACACGTATACACGAGCTTGCATCGAATCAAGTCCACACATGGTTTGCCTCAATGTTCCCGATCTCCATAATCCATATCTCCCCTCAATGATGTGGCATGATGGTAGCCATTCTTTTTGGGAGGCCTACAAAAGACAAACGGATGCGTTATCCACTAGGTGAGTTTTGGGGACGCCACTGTCTTACAGCAATGATGAGGCTACGGGATATTACGCCACTAGCATCTATGGCTTGACTTTCGGGGATCAAGGTTCCCCAGCCACTGTGATAGGCTCAATACTTTGTTCCGAAGAGTGTCGGATATTTGCGCTATTTGTGCGGGCGGAGCTATCGAAACGCCGCATTCAGACAACCGCGTAGATCAACTCAGTTGTGACATTTACATCCTCAATTTTATCAGAATTTTACAAGATCTTGTTTTAGAAACCCAACCATTCCATCTGACTTCTGCACTATTTTTGCCCAACTACCGAAGCTTAATAAGAGTTGAAGATTATTCTTCTGGAAGATTTTGCGCCTCACCTTTAGAACACCCGCAATATGAACGCGACTGTTCTAATCCGCCACTGGCGTCCAAGTCCCGCATGCTTCCGGAGTACTATACAGCCTCAATTCTTCTCGACGTCTTCGCTTGTATGGAAAGCCTATTACTCCGATCAAGTCAAAGCACCCCATCAGAAGACAGACTGCCACGCCACGAAAGCAAAGAGCACGACTCACGTAACATCCAAATCGCGGTCAGTATGGCGCCTCGCCTTCTGGAGCTGCCGGACCACCTGGAAACGAGCGGGAATCAACACGCTGCGTTGCCTGGCGGGCTGTACACTTGGTGACTTTTCCGCACTATGGATGCTACAAACCTACTACCCAGAACTCGGAATGACGACAATAATGGCTGCATCCAGTAAGTTTTGCTCACGAACCTTCTAGCAAGGAAGCTTCCACAAGAGGATACGCAATGACTTAATCATACTCACAGTGGTGTCTGGCATCACAACCTCAATTATCGTTGAAAGTGTTTTACTCCGGCGCGGAGTCGACCAACTCTCCTGGTCTATGGCGGTCCGCACTGCGATGGGCATGAGCATGGTGTCAATGATGGCGATGGAGGCCGCAGAAAATATCGTCGACTACCATCTCACGGGCGGCGTAGTGGCATTGGGGGACCCAAACTTTTGGATGGCGGCAGCGGTGTCCATGGCCGCCGGATATTTCGCACCGTTGCCATACAACTATCTACGTTTACGAAAGTACGGAAAGGCGTGCCACTGAATCTCATACAACAAAACTGGTCCTCATGTGTGAAATCAGGTCATCCCCCACGGACGTACTATTGTATATATAGTGTGAGCCAAATGGAAGACAAAAGGATGTGACATGACACTTACATTATTTCGACTTCTTTGCCTTTCTTTTTCTATCGAGATTTGCCTGCGCTCACGCCATCGGGGATGTCGGAGAAGTCGGGGATGTTGAGGATCGCGTCGGAGATATAAATTATCCATCTCATCTACTACAACTTCCCTCAACAATTATTTCCACCGGTAGACAATTAAATAATTCCCCCTAGAATGACACAGGCATCAAAAGCTTTATTGAGAAACACTAAAAATTCAGGTGGTTTATAACTACTAAAAATTTTGTTGCATGATAAGAAATGCGAAAAGTCTTTTTCATGTATCCTACGTGGCCCTTCGCAGCGGCAAAGCTAAAGAGGCTGAAGATTATGATGGCTAGTTGGCATTTTATCTATCTAGGTACTGGTATTAAAAAGCTACATTTCCACTTTTAGTTTTAGAATTTGGAAAACTCGCTTCGTGGCTTTCTTCGTGGCTTTCGATAATTATTCTTACCATGGCTGAGGTGGAAGGCAATTGTGACTCACCACCCCCTATGGCAATATCATTAAATTGATCCTCAACTGTCAGGCTGTAATTTATTCTCTCCAAAACCTTGGACCATTCATTCAAATATACCAAATTTGCATCTCTGATGCAAACGACGTCGCAACTTCAACTAAGACAGCTTTCAGAGTCGAACGATGCCTTCCAGTAAGTCACGCTTATCCCAGCAGCCTTACCCAGAACTTCAGCTGACACCACCACCAACAGGACCGGTGATTAACTTTCGACCGATTATTATATCGGGGCCTTCGGGAGTGGGCAAGGGAACATTGATACAAATGCTTCATGACAGGCATCCTGGCATATTTACAAAGACAGTCTCCCACACTACGCGTCAACCTCGAGCGGGCGAAATCGAAGGAGTCAACTATTTCTTTGTTTCGAAGGCCAAATTTAGATCACTCATTTCCAAAAACGCTTTCGTCGAATATACGTATTTCAGCGGCAACTACTACGGCACTAGCAAACAGACCATCAAAGACCAAATGGCAAAAGGCTTGCTGGTGGTGCTGGAGATTGACATTGAAGGTGTCAAGCAAATGCGCAAGGCCACTGATATAGACGCAAGCTACGTTTTCATCAAGCCACCAAATTTTGAAGAACTGGAGACTCGACTTCGAAATCGCAGCACTGAGACTGAAGAGAGCATAGAAAAAAGACTGCAGCAAGCAAAGGACGAGCTTGAGCAAGCGGATACTCCTGGGCTGTATGACATGGTTCTTGTGAATGAGAATATCGCAGTGTCATACGACAAGCTTGAAAACTTTCTTTGGAGATTATCAGCAGACATGTTGCTGAAAAGGGCCAGCAACCATGGTACGAGCCGAATAACAGGGGACTAGATGTATTTAGTATAAAGGGGGACTCTCTGCCCGACCAGTCTAGTAGGGAAGCAAGCCAATTGATCATATATTTTAACAATGGCACTGAGTCCATTCATGAGTATCGCATAGATCTAGCAATTATGACTGGTAATTGATTCAACCAGTATTGTTTTAAACAAACTAGGATATATACATCAGAAAGCTTTATATACCTCTACCCAGGGTGGATGCTTTCAGAAATAGATTACGACAGGGGTGATCGCTAGAGATCATACCGTAACGGTCGTCGTGCTATTCCCCCACGAGATGTAACATCTTGTCTAATGGTTGTCTCAAGAATATTTTGTCGGTTAGTAATTAGGACCTTCTGTAATTCATGGAATTTCTGGTATTGTCTTATTTATCAAGAGCCAATACAACCAATGTTTTCTATGTAGATCGTTTATTCATCATTCAATTGTAAATCTAATTGTCATTTTATTAGTAAAGCTTAGGTCTATGCTTCCTTACTAGTCGGAATACCTTCGAGCAGTTGCCAATTTCACATTTTATCTTAGACCCTTTCCATTTCAACAGAGCTAAATGTCCGACCACACCGAGATGATTCCTTACCCAACACAAAATTTATGACAAAATATTCTTTCAAGATACCATGAAGCCTTAATGAATGGTTCCTAGAGCTAACGTCAAGCGCTTACAGTTCATCAATTGTAACTCCATCTGTCCATTGATGTGGAATCTCACAAGTTGCCCGGATTATAGGGTGGGCTAGTCCTATAGTAGCATATGCCTCTTTTGAGATTGCTCTTTCTAGAAATTACACGCAAAGGGCATACTTTACCGCCAGTCTGGTAGCAAATATTAAGAGGCAATATATAAAGCAAAGCAACTGCAGATGTGTTCCATTTCTTTCAATTCACATCAATCGACTACAATAGAGCGCCAAACGCAACTATGCTACACAAAGTCACTATGCTCGTAACGGCCTTGCTTGCAGGCTCGGTGGTAGCAACGGCTCCAAGCTGGGATAAATGGGCACATGGACGAGTGGTGGTGAACAATATCACTATGCACTACCGATATGCTGGACATGGGCCACCGCTATTACTTGTGCACGGCAACCCACAACACAGTGTAAGTTTTCTGTTCGTTGACTGCAGTTCATCGACAGCTAATGGCTCTTTGTCAAGATCACCTGGCGTCTTCTAGGCCCGTTAATGGCTGAAAAGTACACCGTCATCGCGCCTGATAATCGCGGTATGGGCGATAGCACTATCCCACCTGACGGCGATTACACTTCCGAAGCCATGGCATCGGATCTCGAGGGACTGCTCGACTACCTCAACATTACAAAGGCCAACATATTCTCACACGATAAAGGAACTGGAGCTGCAGTAGCGCTGGCCATGAAACGACCTTCTTTGGTCGCCGCACTGGGTGTTGTCGAGTACGGGCTTCCTGGCCATGGCTACGAACAAGCGTGGACGCCGACTTACACCTGGGACACATACGGGCTGTGGCCACTTGCTGCATGGGCTGTGCCGGATGAGGCTGAGCGCTTTATGGAAGGTCGAGAGCGTGAGGTTGTGCTGTCATTCTTTTTCCATGCATCGTACACAGGCATATCTGGATTCCCGACGTATGCCATCAACTCGGTTGTCGACAGCTTGCGCAAGCCTGGCGGTCTCAGAGCCATGTTTGGCGCCTTTGGTGCAAGAACTATGGGACTGGACGCCGAGTTTTTCGGTGCGCTGACCAAGAAGCCTCTGACTGTGCCGTTCCTTGCCATGGCTGGTGAAGCTAGCTTGGCAGATATGTTGAAGCCCGTTTGGGGACCTATTGGGAAGAATACCGTGCTGGATATTGTCCCGCAATCTGGTCATTTCCCTGCCGACGAGAACCCCGAGTGGCTGGAACAGCGATTGAATAAGTTTTTCGATCCATACTTGCATCAGCTCAAGGTTGTGGATTTGTCAGTGCTCAAGAACCGCGTCACCCTTGTGCCACCGATCTAAAGGATCAATTGAGGCTCAACTTAATAGGGTAGGGGACTAATGATTGATTGGCCAAGAACCCAACGAAGCAAACAGCACCATACTTTTTTTGCTCATCTTGTCTTGGTACCGTGCTCAATCAGGCAACAATAGTATTTAATGCTTAATAAAGAGTATTGGATTTACAACCATGGATATTAGTGACTTATTGATCCAGGTTCAAAGTAGTTGTGATTCAGTTTATGGTTGCGAAAATGATAAATCAACCAGACGTCCAATATTGTTTTATATAAGTCCCTTTCTTCCCCTTAGCCTCACAGTAAATAGGTAATTATCGGCTCCTCTTTTACTGACTTAGTAGGCTCGAGCTGCTTACGAATAGTTTACAAACATCACAACGCCGAAAAACGTGGTTATGATGCTAACTAGTTCTCTTAAAAGCCTAACCCCGTCAAAGTCCGGGACCCAACGACCTGGTTTCAACACATAGGAATCTCACCGACCGGGCAGACATAAGTGAGCTAGCATACGCGTACATCACGAGTAAGTAAAGACTATACTATGTGTTTTCAATGACTTAGGACAAAGTCGGGATATAGAGTCAGCTACGGGTTTTCCGGCCCCGGCATTAACACCGTGATTTTCTACATCGCTTCTCTAGGAGCTATAGGTGGATAACTACAAGTGCTTAGTACAGCTTAGACGGCCATCCCACAATTCAGTGGAGAGACTGATCATAGGGGACTCTCAGGAGAAGATGTTCATGCCCAAGACTGGCCTTTGCTCAATTTGTCATTGGCGCGGTGGTTAGACGGAGCTGATGGGGAGTTTGATCGCCCTTAGATAGTTAGTCAGTTAGTTGACAAGGGATGAAAGCAGAAGGACCAACAATAGTAGTTGCGAAATGGCCGGCAGAGGCTCAGTGGGATAGTAATATAAATGTCTCTGCTCCTCGCCGCGCTTTTCCTCTTCACAACTAGACATCTTTCGTTACTAGTCTAAGATTTCACCACGATGCAATCTCTCAGTGTCCTCCTAGCCAGTCTGGTGGCCTTCTCAGCCCCAGCGGTCGCTGCCCCTTCACCATCATCCTCCGTCTCCCTGTCTTCCAAGATTATAGGCCAGCTTCCAGACGGCACTTGGCTGGAGAACCTCGCAGTGAGGCCCAATGGTGACATTCTCACCACGCTGCTCTTTCCCTACGGGGCCATCTACACCATTCGACAATCCCCGCAAGGTCTCCATGGCCTGGAGCTGCTTGCCAACTTCAGTTCTGTCAATTCCCTCGGTGGCATCTCTCCCGTTGCCGTTGCCAGCGGCCTTGAGACTTATGTCGTAGTCGGCGCCAACACCACTGGCCTGTCTCAGCCCATCCGTGGCACGTTCAGTGCCTGGACCGTCACCTTCCAGCCGACGAAATCAGGCGTCACTCGTGAACAAGTCCGAATTAACAAGGTCAGCGACATGAGTCCCAACAGCACCTTTCTCAACGGCGTCATCAGCATCCCCGACGTGCCTCACGCGGTCCTCGTTTCCGACTCTGCGGCTGGCAGCGTCGGTTATCTTGACATCCAGACAGGCGAGCTTGATCCCGACGCCTTTGTCTTCCCCGAGATGCAGCCTGTTCAGGGCGGCGCTTTTCCACTGGGCATTGACGGCATCCGTATCCACGACGGCTACCTCTACTGGACCAACACTCTCCGGGTCGTCATCTACCGCGTCGCCCTGGCCGCCTCTGGGTATCCAGCTACAGGGGCCACAGCAGAGATCGTTGCCAATCTGACTTCGCTTGCCCACGGCCTTGATGACTTTGCTTTCGACTCTCGTGGCAACATTCTTGCCGCCACTAACTTTGACAACTCGGTCTTGTATGTTGACACGCGCACTGGAGACGCCAAGACCATTTTGGGCGGCGAGGACGACATCACTTTTGCTGGCTGCACCGGTGTGTACTTTGGACGGGGATGGACTGAGCCCAATACTTTCTTTGTGAGTACATCTGGTGGGTTGGCGAATCCTGTCGGTGGAAACAGGACAGCTGGTGCAAGTATTGTGTCTGTGGTGGCTTCACGGACTTTATGCAGTTGATTGGTCAAGAGACAGACTGGGCGTGGTTCACCTCTGTGGGTAATCTTGCTAGGTTCTTAGACCACTAGAAAAGGGAAAGCCATGTGAATCTCTTCGTTCAACCATTTTGAGATCAGGCAAGCTAGACATACATACAAAGTTTATAGAATAGCTCTACTATTGCTTTAATAACTAATTCTCCTTATATCACAATTCTTCTTATATCACAATGAGCCTATTCCAAGGCCAGGAGCTTTCCGTAAAGATGTTAACACGATAGTGCTAGCTGAATGTTCATTCGGATATCAGGCTCATTCTCGCGCAGATGTCGTAAAGTGTTTTGTACTGACCACTTGGATGTTGATTTTTATCTCTGGTATCGATTTTGGACCAAGAAATGCATTCACAGTAGTCATCAGGACATGGGTCTCATTCAATAGTTACGGTAGATGGAAGTTAGCACCAGGAGACTTTGGCCCGTATATGCAATGATAGCTACAGTATCTCATCTGACGATTTCAAGTTAATAAGATAGCTTAAATCTTTCTATTCCTCAAGTGGCATTCTATTTTCCTAATTTGAAGGCTTTGGTAGAGACATCCCATTATTCGATTCAGAATTGCTCCCCAACAATCTTGTTACTGAGGTCCCACAGCTTGTGTGCCTGGTCAATATCTGCCGAGTGGGCTGCTAGGACTTTCACGTCCTCGCCCTTCAACAGAGGTTGAGTATCATGCAAAAAGAAGATTTCTTCGTTAGCTATTACAAAGTGCTTAGTATCTATCAAATTTCATCCCTATAGGGCAATAAATCGTAACTTACGAGGAAGAGTCGGATCCAGTGCTGCTCTCAATTGGGTAGAACAGCCTTGCTGTAGTGTCTTTGGCGGGTATCTTTCCTTTTTATGCTCTGCTAACAATTCCATGAACGATTTTGTCGACTCGTCATTTAAGTGGCGAATAAGGCTAGTTCGAATCGCTTGTAACTGGGGTTAGTCGAGGCTGTTACTATCATTGAGCAGTGAACTCACATCCAGGATTTAGAGTATACGCAGCGAATCCCTGCGAACGGAATTTCTCATTCAACGAAATCGTCATCAGAATGTTGGCAGTCTTGCTTTGGCCATATGCTTTCCACGGATTGTAATCTTTCCCATTTCCAAAGGTAAGGTCGTCAAACCGAATGCCGGAGAATATGTTTCCGTAGCTGGAGACAGTAACAATGCGAGGAGTTCCTGAACCACCAATTTCACCATTAGGGTTGGGTCGGATGGCAGCCAGTACCTTGGGCATGATGAGATTTGCCAAAAGAAAGTGCCCAATATGATTGGTGCCAAAGTGTGCTTCAAGCCCATCCTGTGTCAATTGTAGATTTGGCAGAGCCATGACACCGGCATTGAGCATCAACACGTCAATACTGGGAATGGAGGCATCATCATTAATTTCCTTTGCGGCTTTGCGCACGCTAGTAAGCGAATCAAGTTCAAGCTGGACAAACTTGACGTCGATGGATGAGCCGATAGACTTGACCTTGTCGACCACAGCCTTTGTCTTCTCCCACGAACGGCCCATAAAGACAATCTGGGCGGGAGACGCACGGGCTAGAGAATAGGCCGACTCTGCTCCTAGACCACCCTCACTTGACCCCGTGATGACAACTTGGGGGTCAGGTTAACCATATGATCGAGAGGCTGGTGCATACGAACATTACATACATCGTCTACCCCTAACATTTTCAGGGAATTTGTCGATAACTTGGTTGCCTTCTGTCTCGAAGCCCCATTGTACCATTGTGAAATAAGCTCTGGATGGTTTTTGGCGGAATTGATTTGTGAACAAGCGTAGCCGATTCATGCTCACCGTCAAGGTTTAGGTCGCAGAGCCAGTCCATGTTGATTATATATCGCAACTCGTATCCTCGACGAGACACGGGCATCTCGTTCAATAATCACCATCTCCAATGCACATACGTAACCTGGCCAACTAGGACATAACGTCCTATCCCCGTCCTTATATGCGAGGATAGACGCAAGTTAGCGGATTGGCTAAGTGATGGTGCGGCCCACAGATCGGACGGTCAGATCCAGAAATATACGAGCCCACCTACGAGGGTCCTGCGTTTATCGCCGATTTTAGGTTACGGTGATAACCATTCAACGGCTTCAAATGAATGTTTCGCAGTCGGACTTGAAGATTTGATCAGAAATTGTCATCACTTGGTCATCAGTCGTAATCACTTTTTTTTGTTTCGAGTTTTACTGTAGCAATTAGTTCCCGGTTTTCCTTTACAGCGACTATGAGGGAGATCTCCGGTGCGTCTGTGGATTAGAATGATGGTGAAAAGTCCATTCGTTAGAAGACTATTGAGATATATATTTCAACAATAAAATCAAGCCGTATTCTGTTAGCGAACTTATATAGCTTCCGCTTAGACCTTACGCAGTTTGTTGAAAATACTCAGATTGTCACCGCAAACCAACCTTGTTAAACCATAAACCTTTCGACATTATTTCAATATTTCAACCAAGCCCAGACACTATGGCTTCTCTACCGAAAACCTACAAGGCCGTGGTACAAAAGTCCGCCACGGATACCTGGCAACTATCAGATGTCCCACTTCAACATCCCAAGGCTAACCAGGTCCTCGTCAAGGTCCTGGCTTGCGGTGTCTGCTTCAGCGATGTAATGATCGGTACAGGCGAAATGGGCGACATTTTCCCTCGAGTAGTTGGGCACGAAATTGTCGGCGATATCGTCGAGGTTGGCCCAGGTGTTGTCAACTTTCAAGAAGGCCAGCGCGTTGGTGGTGCCTGGCACGGTGGCCATGATGGCATCTGCCGACAATGTCAGCGGAGCATCTTCCAACTGTGCGACAACGCTGCGATCAACGGCGTTACACAGGACGGTGGCTTTGCCGAATACGTGATCCTACGGACAGAGGCAGTTGTCCGTATCCCTAAGGAACTTGATCCGGCCAAGACCGCTCCTCTTCTATGCGCCGGCGTTACAGTCTTTAATGGTATTCGAAAGCTGCATGTCGAGCAGGGCGCTGTTGTTGCCGTTCAAGGTCTGGGTGGCCTTGGCCACTTGGCCGTCCAATATGCCAACAAGATGGGCTACGAGGTCGTCGCTATATCAACAGGCGATGATAAAGCTGCCTTTGCCAAGCAACTTGGTGCCCACCACTACATCAACTCTAAGAAATCCAACGTTTCCGAAGAGCTCATGAAGCTCGGTGGTGCCGCTATTGCCGTGCAGACTGCGCCTGACCCTACCGTTTATGGTCCTTTAATGAAGGGCCTAGCAGTTGAGGGCAAGCTGCTCAACCTGGCTGTTGGGGCTCCTTTTGAGGTTGAGCCAGCAGTGATTAATATGAGAGCAGCCGCAGTCCAGGGATGGCCAAGCGGACATGCTTTGGATAGTGAAGAAGCAATTCGCTTCGCAATGCTGCACGGAGTTGAGTGCATGGTGGAGACTTATCCGCTGGCCGAGACACAGAAGGCGATTCAGAGTTTGGTGTCTGGGAAGCCAAGATTTAGAAATGTTTTGGTGATGCAGTAGTCTTCGGTTCGAGGTGCTGAAAAATCAGAATAGTATGAAGGAGTGTCACGAGCGAAAACAGAGTTTATATCATAGAGGGGAATCTCGGTATGAGTATACATGAAGGAATATATCAAACCGTAAATAGAAACATTCTATGCAGATAATTAACAGATCTTGTAAAACGATTTGTGCTCTATATTTACACCAATTGATAGTAGTGCTAACGTTAAAATGCAATTTGAAGCGGGTGATAAGACAATTTCAGTTGCAGGGCTTGGGACGCTATTGCTTCTGAGACCAGTGGGCAGCGATTTTCCGATTGCTGAGCCCGCTGTATGTGCATGTGATTCGGTATGAATGGGGTATCTGGAGGACGAGCGAGGAGCAATCAGTCTGGATTGAACTAATATAGTAGTTGACATCATTGGCAAATAAAAACTGTTCTTTCGTCCTGGTCCTGGGCCAGATGGGTGGGCTACTCTGATGATAGCCACGGGCAGGGTTAGTATGGAGAGAGGGTCGTGCATTTAGTAATCTTGGACAGTGCGCCGACTAAGTATAAGTTGTTTTCAATACAGCATGTGATAACTCATTATGTGACAACCCATTATGTGACATTAAACTCCCTAATATTTGACAATGTGTCCAAGGAACTACTAGACTAACTATGTACAGTATGCGATTGAGCAATTGTCAACACCCAGCAACAAGAACACATATTATGCAACACCCTACCATAACAACACAGCTATAGACATGAATATGGCTAGCGGGTTAGTGAATAGGAGGACAGTAGAGGCCGAAGATTCGCTAGTAGTAGCCGCCTCTGCATCAACGACTGCAGATCCAGTCTCACTACCAACAGTTCCGCTTGCAGTGCTTGTAGTTCCAGTAGATTTTGCTGAAGCAGATGAAGTAGAATGCGATGGCTTAGGACACGGGTTCTTGTACACAAACTGCTCAGGCGCGCCCTTGCAAGTAGTCGCAGCTGAAGCGTCGTAGGTGCCATTCGGGTACATCCAACAAGAGCCCGAAGCGTAGGGTGAATTGTCTGGGTTGTGTGGATTAAAGACGGCGTAGCTGCAGGAATCGGCCTTTACGCACTGACTCAGACAGTCTGTTGCGCCTGAACTAGCACTACAACTGCTGAAGCAGTCATCATCTGGTGTTGGATACCCGCAGACCGATGCGACGGCAGAGGGCGTTGCAGTCGCTGCGCAACTGTCCGAGCCGGTGGGCGTGCCTTTGCCTCCTTTGCCTTTGCACACAGGCTGGCTGTAGACAAACAGATAGGGGTTGGTGTCGGCACAGTTAGAGCTGCCGGCGCTCGCATCGTAGCTCTCGCCTGGATAAAGCCAGCAGGTGCCTGTGCCCGTGTAGGGGTTGCCCTCGGCGAAGATGACAAAGTTGCAGGGAGGATGGGCATTGCAATAGTCCCAGCAGGAAGCTCTGCTGTCCTCAGCGACGGCGAAGTCGGGACCTGGCTCTGGATAGTTGCAGAGACTGGCGATGAGGGAGGCTGTGCAGGTTGGAGCTGCAGATGTGGAAGTTGGGGATGGAGTCGTTGCAGCGAGGACTGGCAGAACGCGCAACAGGGCGACTGACGCCCAGAATGGAGTGATCATCATAGTAGCGAGCGTGTAGATGGTAACGAGTGTGGTTTGTAGCGATCGTGATGATGGTAGAGAGCGTGTGTTGTTGGTTGTTGGCTGAGTTGGTTGAAGAAATTAATCGTGACAGAAGGATTCAGACAACCACGTGATGTCCCAGGGGCCACCGAAAGAGGACATCGCCGAGCATCAATCCTATAAGAGCTAGTTAGTTCTTCTCTTTTATGAAAAAAAAAAGTTAGCAGCATCTTCCTTTGTAGTGAAAATGAGGTTCAACTTTTGTCATTGTGTGACCAGGTTCCATCAGTTGTCACTTTGCTGATGTAAACTTAATTCTAGGGCGATTAGATTAAAAGATCTGCGTGCGCGGAAGTGGAATTGCAATCTTGAAATCAGCCATGGTACTTGGGCGGCCGAAGACCCTAGTTTCACGTACAGTAGCAGCTATCTACATTTTAGTCCAGTAAAGGAAAAGACTAAGCATATCAGACTCATTGTTAATACTTCTCCAGTGGCTTGTGGAGAAAAAGCGCGGTTCCTTGAATTGACATAAAACGGACATATTACGGCATTGATCGTAGCTATTATTGGTTGCAAGTTGTGTGACAAACAGACTTCCTCTTCATCTGATCGGAACGGTAGTTCGATTGGCCCCCAAACCAGACCACAGCAGCCACAACACACTCATCGTCCAACCGAAGAAACTCGCTTCGACGATTCGGGGACTGTGGCTTACGAGAAGCGATCCCCGCCTCGACAATTGACCAGGATATTGGAAATTGAAAACCCACGTGGTCGCGGGTCACAGCAGCCACACAATGCGGGTGGTGGGGGATTCTCTGCCAGGCTAGGCAGTCGTCTGCTATGCAAGCCGTAGGCAAAGTCATCAGGAGCTGCGATCTATCATACACTCATACGAATCACTCATATACAGGCAACATGCAGTAACAAGTAAGTCAATCATACTGCATAATCAAATACTTTTACGTCTAATACTTGAAGTAATTGCCAAAGATGGCACTCTTATATTGGGGCGTAGACTCTGGAAATTTTGTCATGATGGGTAAAACCTCCCTTGATAACCAAATACCAGACATTACCTTTTTTAATCCTCGTTCATAGATCTTCCTGTTCGAACAACTGTCGGGAGATTCAGAGACTGCAAGATCTGGATCGCAGTGTCAATCAATTTCAAGTCAGTACCTACGTGTGTCAGCAGGTGATTTTGTCTAGAGAATACTTTCGCTTCCATACCCGGTGCTCCCATAAGTGCTACTGCAAATGGCAACTTCTCCTCCCGGTCGCTAACTCTGGAATGATATGGGATCTCGGCAACTGTGTCTCATTAGGAAAAAAGAACGGTGTATTTCACAGGCGGTAATCTCACTTGGAACAGCAAGAACTGGTGATTTCATAACGGGCCCAAGAGCCAGGGCGTTGATACCATCTTGTGGCGGCCGTCGGAAGCTTGAGATTAGTTAGCTTTTATCCAGGCCTAATAATGTAGAGACGACTGGGATATTACTCACTCGGGGACATCGTCTCTGTATCTTGGCTTTGCATCTTCAAGCGGCATCACTATGATGGCATTCGTATGGTCCCCCGTCAAAATTGTTTGTTGGAACCACTGGCGGTAGACCTCAATTCTCTTGAATCCATCATTCCTGTTGTAGAGACTTGTGTTCTTTCCGGCATCCCTAATTTTTATGTCAACGATATAGATCATTCGTCATTTTGCAAAAGCATATGTTACCAGATTCGCTCATTTTGCATCGTCGTGTAGGGTGCTCGTTCAAACATTTCCCAGTAACGGGAACGAAAGTCTTCGCTGTTGTGATACACGTCGTACGCTAGACTAGCGGTAGCCTGACGGGAGATTAGAATCAACATAACGAAGTCATGTCAACAGGTACATACCAGATTGATGAATTGGGGTAGCAGAGGTGCATGAGGTCTTGGCGGTGCACTCTTCCAACGCTCTTCAAACGAAATCTCTTCAAACTTAATATTGAGCGTAGTAGCCATACGTTGGGCGATAGATTTTGTTGTACTACTCTGCTCAGAGTCGATGATTTTCCAAAAGTCCGTTGGCCATATAATTGAAGAAAATGACTACATATATCATCAGCTTTGGAATCACAGTTGTTTGCAGGAAAATAAACCTCAGGTGTCTTTTCAAAGTTGTCAAAATTCAGCCATTCTTGAGCAAAATCTCTACACTTTTGCAGATCTCTTGCGAGAATTCCTGGAACGTCCCAAGATCTTAAATAGTTAGTCCAATGCAAATGACCAAGAAGAGTAGCTCCTTACTGGACATATGGCACAATACCGTCCGTAGAGATACTTCCAATACTAGGGCGCAGACCAAAACATCCACACCAGTGAGCGGGCCGAGTAACGCTTCCCCAAGCTGTCAATTATTCGTCAGACAACAATCATGTTTGTCAAACAACATCTTCAATACGTACTGTCAGTGCCAATAGCGATATCAAGCCAATCATAGGCAGCAACGGCCGCAGCACTGCCCGAACTACTGCCTCCAGTGGATTGATACCCGTCTGCCCTAGGATTCCATGGCGCTTGATAGTCGGTATACTCGGTTGGCTCCTCCCAGTTCCCAAAAGAGTTCATTTTCGTCTTTCCAGCTATGAAAACGCCCTTATCAACCAAATTCTGGATGCACTGGGCAGAGTTTTCCTGAGGGGGATAAGCGTCGTAGAAAGCACGGTTGCCTACAGACGTCTTGATGCCCTTTAAGTGTATGTTGTCTTTAATCAGGATGCGGAGTCCAGCGAGTGGAAGACTCTGAAACTTGCTTTTGATGCGAGAAGGGAGGGCGAAGCTGAGGGCATGATCTTGGCCCCTAATCATAAGAGGTTCTGGTATGTCGGATGGGCTAAAATTAAACCACTGTCATCGTTCCACATGTGTAAGTTGGCCAATACACTTACTGTGGCTTTAAAGTGACCATACACGTCCCATATGAATCGTCCACCAACTTCCACACCTCTCTAAGCTCCTGATCGACCATCACATGCGGACCAGGGAGATAATTCGACGACGAGCCAAACGCATACTGTTTCATGCCATGTTCCTAAAGAAACCTGATGGCGTCCTTCGTTATAGGATGTTCCTCACGACGTTCACGCGGCTGGACAAACACGACGTTGGCGAGAAATGCTTGGTTAAACACATCGTCTGTCCTATATTCATCGAGAATCTTCCGCATCCATGCCATGGATATTTCTGTAGACGTCTCGGGCGGGACAGGAAATACTGTGGCCAGGTTCAATCCGACCATTTTCGGGAGCTTCGAGTCCTTCAGCCGAACGAACAACTAGCATGGTTGAGTACTGGAGACTGTTGAAATGGATGGTGCCTTACCTTCTTCGAGCATGGCGCAACGTAGCGGACGCCAGACACTGAAAAGTAGCAGCCGTCTATGCCTGGAGTCGAATCAATTCGTATTGACTCTGACGCCGATTTGGGCATAATCTCAGTAGGAGAAGAAGATGATGCGTCGCTAGTGGGAGATGCGTCGCGCCGCCATTGCGCGGGAAGGCAGCTCAGCAATTTGTTCATCTCGCGTCTTGACAACGGAGCGATACCGCGATGGAATTATTTGTGAAAGAGTAGGTCTTCTTCAGTACAAAGCTTTCTTCATGTCTCCCTTGTCTTGCTAGTCCTACGGTAAACGAGGAGACGCAAATTGGGTCTGTGCAGCGCATCGACACTTTTGTCGGCCAACTGCAGGCATCTCTCTCTCTCTGGTCTGTACTGGACTGCAAGTTGTAGGCAAATTCATCACTGGCTGTGATCCATCATGGCCTCGGCAATACTATTACTCTATGCTGCATGCACTCAAACGAATCACTCACACATGCAGCAACATGAAATACGAAATAGATGCATCAGTAGCTCGGCTTGATATGCATTTTATTAATGTGTTTTTGTTTTTCACCACACTTTTCTATCGTACACTAACCAAGCTGTTTGTTTGTTCCCATCTCCCACTCCCACATCACCACACATCCGCTTAGGTGTGACCAACAAGGCCGGCCTGAGGCGCATTGTCAGGGTTAATGTTTGTGTTTGCGAACCCAAGAAGCGAGTTCCACGTGTTGGCAGTATCCGCATTCCTAGTTCCCAGCGCCGAAATCTTGGCCTGAGCATCTGCAACCGCAGCCTTGGCCGCCGCGTTGGCTCCGCACACGTTGGTGAGCTGGTCGTGGATCCGGTTGGTGATGATGTTGGGGTTGAGCGCCTCTTCTTGGCCCTTGTTGACGAGGGGGTCGATTGCCTGAAAGGTAAACTCGGTGTCGGATCGTCCGTCGAGACCAGCTTCGAACTTCATGGTGGGAACGCAAAGTCCAAAGTCCAGGCCTGCAATGGTCGAGGCTACGAAGCCGTCAAAGTTGCCCGTGACGGCGTTCTTGACGGCTCCAGAGCCATTGCTGGGAGCTGAGCACGCCAAAGTGCTGCCACTGCCGGTGCAGGTTCCGGCTTGAGCTGATGCGTTACCAGAAGAAGCATTTCCAGAGGAGGCGTTGCCAGATGAAGCGCTGCCGGAAGAGGCGGGCGCGCTTGAAGCCTCAGCAGTTGCTACTGAAGTCACAACAGCAGTCCTCGTAATGGTAATCATGGTAGTTGGGAGCGCGATACTATTGCATCCCGCGTTGTTCACTGCAGTAGCCGGAGGAGCAGAGGCCTGAGCTGCTGAGGCCGAGGTGGCGACCGGTGCAGCAGCAGCAGAAGATCCGACTGCCGCCGATCCTCCCGAAACATCCGACTTGCTGCCATCCAAAGCAACAGCTGTGAAATTGGAGAAGCCATTCTGGACCATAACCTGAGCGACACTGAGGCCATCAGCTGCGAACGGCTTAGTCTTGGAAGCCGCCGCGTTCTTGTTCTCGAGATCCGATCCGACAACCGCAGGGTCAATCAGGGGAACGACACCCCGAAGCTGTGCGGATTTCGGCAGAGTAGTGTCCGAGCAGATGGAAGGGACGCTGACGACAAAGGGGTTGAAGTTTTGCTCTGCAGCAACGAGGCCACGGGCTGCTGCAACAGCAGCGTCACTTGTGCCCAGCTCCTCTAGAATTGAATCGGCATGGCTGAGCTTGCCACAAGGGTTTGCAGCAGCGAGGAGGAACTGAATGGCGTTGCCGGCAAGGGTGGCAGCTTGTCCAGGTTGACCCAAGTTTGACAATGCCTGAATAGCGGCAATGGCTCCGTTGCCCTGCTCTTGGCCGAAACGAGCCTCGGCCGCAGCGGCGAGAAGAAGAGAAACAGCGACGGAAGTCTTCATCTTGAGTTGTCTGAGATGATGGAAATGGGGAAATAAACAGCAAAAGAGAGAAAAAAAGAATGTAATTACACAAGAAGAAGAAGAATCAGAAAAGAAGGAAAAGTCAGAGGCAATCGACCGGCGAAAGCTTGAAACTCTGAGTTGATAGAGAATGGAATGGTAAAAAGTGAGGATGGAAAAGAGTGGTGAAGAACAAGAAAACAATGCAATTGCGAAGATATCACAGCAACTATATATCACCAAAAAAGCAATTAACTCATCATCATAGATACTCATCGTCGACAATTACAAGTCGTACGATTTCATGGTGTTTCACTTAGACACCATTGTCTCAAAGTCCGCGCGGCAAACGGGGGGCCAAGATTCCCCACTGTTTCAGGAACAAGACGGTTTTCGGGATTCCTTACGGAGTATAAACAAATTACCGTTTATGACAGGCCTTGTTCAGCCTTGCTTGGCTAAAATAACCGAGGGCAGCTCGGTAACAGATGACCGAACCCGAGAAGAAGAAGAAATCTCCCACTTTCCCGATATTACAAAAGTGGTCTGCTGCTGGGCAAGGGAAGAAGAGACGAGGGGCCGACCTGAGGATGGAACTGGTCCTAATCTCGATCCAAGGTATCACATATACAGCGCGCAATAAGCTATTATAGGCCGCATTTCCTAGTTTGGAACGGCATGTAAACGACTCCGTGCTGCTGGCGACTCTTGTTTCCATTCTTGTCAGCATCGGATGCAACCGGTTCAACAATACCACTCTATCTAATACCAGCAGTTATGCGGGCCAATGACATTCGACGCCCACAGAGCGGCAAGCGAGACATGCACCAGATAATTGGAAACTTATCCCATGTGGCTAGATCCGATAAGCTTTTGAAACGATAACCGTCCCAGCGACTGATGAGTTTATTCGGCGGGATCGCTTGGAAAAGTACGCGAGTAACTCTGTCAGAGTTGTGAAACCAAACGCTGCCCTTGTCTTATCAATCCGGAATAAAGGAGAGGCGGATTCTCCGGTGAGAGGAGGTACCTCGGTACTCTGGCAAGTCTGGGCACTTGTGCTGAGTAAGGCATCGCAAAGCGCCGAGGTTTAGCAGCGCGTCAAATAGAGACTAGCGTGGTGGAAATAGGCTAAATCTAAGGCCCGCACTTTATCCGGCAGTGTGGGCTCCCCATATTACAGAGTATCTGCACGTTGTCTGTCATTTTGCTTGCGATTTTAAAGTACAGAGCCGCACCCAAAGGCTGCGATGAAACGCTTGTTACATACATAGTCGATGCTGCTGAATTATGATCTTTATGCTGATAAATAATTGAGATGCTAATCAATATTGTTTTGGAGAAGTAAATACACAGGATTGGCTTTGAGAGACGTACGGCTGATGAGTTTGGTGGCTTAATCCATGATGCTGCGTATCCATAGTATCGTAGAGTGTCAATTTTTAGTTGATGCAGCATATCAAATCCACCCACACTGCCTACTATACTAACTGGACATCAACTAGAGTGCATGCAGATGTCTTTAATAGAACAAAACCACTTGCATGTGATTTATGCATAATCTGATCCATTCATGGCTGCAGTAGCCGCATACTCGAAATCTGCTTTGTTGGTGTAGGGTAGCAGCGCCGATTCCTTAGAGTTTGCGTGGTCAATATTTTGCGCTCAGTCTTGGAGAGATTGCATTGTCCTCTGCTGCTACCCCTCCATGAGAGAACGGAGCATACTCATGAACGCTTATCTCCAATACTCTTTGTGAGCATCTCAGCGTATATCTAATAATGAAATAAAATAGAATAAAATGCAATACATGCTTGCGTGCAAGAAGCAAAACGAGCATCTCAAGGTAACTCACTTATAGAGCAATAGTCTGTTCGGTGCATTGTAATTCCGCGCTGCTTACCCGTCCTTGCCGTCCTTACCCGTGGATGCTTACTATTCCGCATTCTGATTTTTTCTGGTCATTCAGCAGTATCGAATTCTCCAATTTGCAGCATTCAATCTTCTTTCATTTTGTCTAATTTCCTCCAAAACCTCCATACGTTGTACATGTCCAACCTCATCAACTCACGCCGAAGTTTCACTCGTATTGTTATATCCCCTCTGCACATCAACTTGGCCTCTCATTTTCCCCATCCCTCCACAGTATGTTTTGCAGCAAACTACATAATCTAGCATCAGATTCATAATAACGTGGGGTAATAGAAGAACGAGGCGTCAAGTCTAGAATCTCCCCAATTCAGGACTAGCCACGCGTATAAGAAGGTTACATCTTCCTGCATTGTGGGGTGAACGCTAATCCGCTCCCTACAACCATCACGTTTTTGATCCAGCAAACTGATCTAAGCAATCATCCATCACTCCCCCAACCCAGCCCAGTGTCTCGGTGTTTTTAAAGTCCCGGCAGAAGATACCGGTAGGTTACCCGCTATTTTCTGGATCCATCACCCCCAAAAGAGTATCCAAAGAGTATACAAAAAGTATTCAACTATGGAGGCGAGCAACAACTCCCTCCCGCGGCCAACCGCTGTCTCGATGGATACAAATAGTAGTAAGAAGAGAAAACGCCCTAAAGACGTTCCTTCGCATACAAGGATCCTGGCCGCCTGTGACGCATGCCGCGTTAGCAAGACACGGTGCGACTCTGCTCGCCCGACGTGCGCAAAATGCGCCGAGCGCGGCGTGGGCTGCCATTATCCTGATAAAGATCCATTCTCAATGTAAGCGGGCAACACACAGCCTGTTCTTTAGTTAAGAACCATGTATGCCGAAAAGCTGATTCTGATGGTTTTTTTCTTCTTCCTTCTTGTCTTGTAGATTCGAAACCTGGGGCAAGAAAATTTTGACGGCCGTTGAAGAGCAGGGGCGTCTTCTGTCCAGCCTTTCAGAGGGTGGGATTAGGAATGGCCTCCAGCCGCGGCCCGACCAGCTGAATCGCCTGCTGGACATGGACGGAGACAATCTCGAGACCATGTCGCGAAAGGACACTCCTTGGACGCCAATCACGGGCTCTGACATGATCCTGGGCTGGTCTGTCTTCCCGCAGGAGCGGCCGGTCAGCACGTTTCCCTCGTCAGAGTACGCCGAGAAGCCGAAGCCATCCGACCTTGGTATGTATGCCAAGTTTAATTTAAATGTTTGCATGCAATTCCATGTGTTTGCTAATCAAGACGATATGCGGGTAACAAAAAAACAGAAGTGTCAAACCCGTCACCAGAACGCATGTTTGAGCTGCGGGACATTTACATGAGCAAGATCCAGGGAAAGAATCCCATCGTCGATGCTGACCAACTTGACGCTCACATTGCATACGTCCTGGAAAACGGCTTTGGTTGGTCGGCCACCTCATGTCTTGTGCTCTTGGTGTTTGCGCTGGCCGCCGTCTGGGGCAACTATCCCGATGATGAGCGGCGAAATATAGAGTCAGACGAGGAGCTGGATCTCTATCCCAGGCAGCGTGTCACCATGGCCGTGCCTGATCATCGCATGAGAGAGTCTCTGATGTATATTGCCATGGCACAGAAGCGAATGTCTACGGCGTACCTGGACGATTCGTTGCTCGGCGTCGTGTGTTTTTGTCTCTTTGGGTATGTATTGCCAAAAATGTCAATGTCGATGCTTCTTCTGCTGACGTGAGGTATAAGAATGTGGTATCAGTATAACATTGAACCAATACCTGGGTGGAAAATGTTTCGAACAGCGTCAATGATGTGGGAAGCATACAACTTGAAGCATTCCGATGGCAAGACGCAGCGGCCGAAGCAGGAAGAGAGTATGTCGTCCACCAAATCCACCACTGCTGCGTTAGGTAGGGAGTATTGACAAATCTATGCAAGGTCTTGAACAACGACTCTACTGGACGTGTCTCAAATCCGAATGGTACGTCTTTTCTTAGATGTCAACTGGAAAATTGGTTGGCTTGAAGCTCACATGATGATGTCTTTAGTGAAGTACGGCACGAACTCAATGGCCTCCCCTCGTGCACATTACAAGAATCATCATTCCCCTACGCCCTCCCTACGTTTCCCACAATTGAGAGCTTCGGCCAAAGCCCCGTGGACAGCACCCGTCACGAGCAGTCCACCACTCTGTCCTACTACTACTACCTCGCCGAGATATCTCTCCGCCGCCTGCTCAACCGCACCCGCAGCGCCGCCACCGTACTATCACCAAACATCGACTCCCTTACCGCCTCCCAGCTCGCAGACACACTACAGAAACTTGAGGGCCAGCTACAGCAATGGCTCGACTGTCTCCCTCCAGCTTTACGCTTCCACATCCCGCCCGACTCACGACCATCGCCCGACGAGCCCGAACTCGTCAAGCTCATGCGCGAGCGGTACGCCGAGGTCCGCGAGCTCCTCTGTCGGGCTTACCTGTACATGTGTCTCCACGGCGGCATGCGTCTAACACGCTCACAAGTCGAAACCTTTGGTGCTCACGCTTCTCTAGGGTTAAGGCTGAGCATCTATCGGATCCAGACGGAAAACGCCTTCTTCCGGCACCCCGGATCGTGGGGAGCCTGCCGCGTGCGCTTCAACCACGCGCTGTGCCTGATTGCGGCATTTCGGGGCAAGCAGGCTGGGGTGGAGTCGGCGGCGCATGTTGTCGTGCCACCGCTGTGGCGAGAATGCGTGGGCATGGTTCAGGAGAGGCTGGAGACATGGGGGGATCAGGGAGGGGGGATAAGGGAGATGGCTGTGTTGTTGGATTGGCTGCTGAAGCAGTGAGCTACACGTGGTAGTTTCTATTATATTCAGTACTTTACAGTATACAATTCCTTGCTCTTTGCTTACACACTCACTGCCCAGACGTTTTCGAGAAGTGTCAGCTGAGGAGGGAGCAAGACCCATACAATGAATTTTTACGAGAGCACCATGAGTCAGAAATGCCAGGTTCATGATTTTGAATGATTAACAATGCAATGTAGCCTTCCATAGCGTCTATCTAGGTATATTCTATCCAGCCAATCATTAGATAATCCATTGGCAGTTTTCCAATCTATTACGAGAGTGCGTCTTCTGACACCACGCACGTCTACAACCCTAGCCAGTATCGCGTCTCGGGAACAACCAGCTTTCCCTTACCCAGAATCTCCTGGCTCGACACTCCCACCAAAACCTCATACGTCCCCTCCTCGCTCTTAAACTTGCTCTCAATCTCGTCCCAGAAGCTAGTAGCGTACTTGTCAATGGGAATGTGCACCTCCTTCTCCTCGCCTGCCTCCAGGTATACTTTTTCGAATCCTTGTAGCTCCTTTGCCGGGCGTTGCGTCGGGGAGTTGGGGGCGGAAATGTACAGCTGCAGGACTTGTGCGCCGGCGACCTTGCTAGTGTTTTTGAGCCTGACGATTGCCACGCTGGGCTGGTTCGGCCGGAACGTCTCGGGGACTGTCTTGACGACGGGATCTGAAAGGGCAAAAGTGGCATAAGAGAGTCCGTGTCTGCAAGAGAGATGGGTTAGTGATGGATAATAAGATCATGACAAAACAAAAACTTACCCAAATGGAAACAAGACCTCCCTCTCCGTCTTCTCGTAAAACTTGTAGCCCACATACACATCCTCTCCGTACAAAACACGACCGCCAACACTCGCATAGTTGAGGTAAGCAGGGTTGTGCTTGACATCGACAGGCCACGATAGAGACAACTTTCCAGAGGGATTCACATCGCCAAACAACACATCTGCAATGCCGTGGCCCGTCTCGTTGCCGCCGTACCAAGCCTGCACAATGGCCTTTGCTTTGTGAGCCCATTTCATCGTGACCGGCGTCCCTGACTGGTTGACGACAACCGCGTTTGGCGCAGCATCGAGAACCTGGGAGATCATCGTGTCTACTCCAGGAGGCAGGTCCATGTGTGGGCGGTCAAAGCCCTCAGACTCCCACTCGCCGCTCAGCCCCGTGCAGATGATAGTGTAGTCTGCATCCGCCGCGGCTCGGACAGCTCGAGCAATCATCTCACGAGGCTCAATCTTGACACAGGCACCGAGATGGACGGCGCCGCCTCCAAAGTTGACCATACCAACAGTTTCCATCTTGGTGGTGTTGGCCGATCCAAACTCGAGGCGCAGCTTGTATGTGCTGCCGGCGACCATCTCCTTGGTGCCAACCTTTTCCGTGGTTCCCTTGCCGAAAAAGGCAGTGCCACGAGTCTGGTGAGTGGTGTTGTCGATGAGGAGCTCATCGTCAATGTACAGGTTTGCAGTGCCGAAAACGCTGAGGCCAAACTCCCAAGTGCCCGTTTCGGTGGGAACAAAGTCTCCCAGCAAGGTTCCCCAGAACATGGCCTTGTTGAGGCTCGGGACGCCGTTGTAGTCCATGAGCTGGAAGGATGTTGATGCGACGTTTTCGCTGCCGAGGAGCTTTCTGTCGGTGACGGTGATGGGATCGTTGTAGAAGTGGATGACGGCCTTGGACAGCATTGCAGAGATGACTGGGAGCATCTGATGCGCGTATGCACCCACCTCGTGAGTGATGGAGGCGCCTGGTAAGGCCTCTGAGACGGCATCGTAGAGGGAGACGGTATAGTAAGGCAATAATGAGGCGCTGCCACCTCCGGAAATAGCTGGTAATCGCACGTGGGAGCCAATGAGGGCTACCTTCGCGTTGGTTTTAGGGAGAGGCAAAAAGGAGTCCTCGTTCTTGAGGAGGACGATGCTGCTGCTACTAATCTGGCGGTTCAGGGCGCGGTCCTCTGGGAAATCACGCCCTCTCTCTACCTCTGACACCTTGAGCTGTCCGGCCTTTTGGGCAAACTTGAGAACTCTGCGGGCACGCTCGTCGATGGTGGATTGCTTCAGCAGGCGGGCTTGCAAGGCAGACTCGATGTATTTGCCTCGATACCTTGAGACGCCGGGCATCTCGAGGTCAAGACCAGCCTTGATGGCGTCGATGGTGGTGTACGTTCCGTACCAGTCACTCACAATGAGAGGATCCCAATTCCACTCCTCTCGCAGCAGATCCTCTAGCATCTCTGCGCTGTCGGCGACATGCTTGCCATTCACCTTGTTGTAAGAAGTCATCAAGGCGCCGGGCTTTGCATCTCGAGCTACGATTTGAAAGGGCCGCAGATATACCTCTCTCAGAGCTCGTGGAGTGATGAGACAGTCTACTGCTCGCCTCTCGTGCTCCTGGTCGTTGCCTACGAAATGCTTCACGGCAGAGATGACACCAGTGCTCTCACAGCCAAGAATCATCGAGGCAGCGAGGATGCCAGACAGATGAGGGTCTTCCGAGAAGGACTCGAAGCCACGGCCGCCCAGGGGGGATCTGGGCGTGTTGATGGTAGGCCCCAGCCAGCAGTGAGCTCCCTTGGCGATGCACTCATCACCAAGCAACTTCCCTGCCCTCCTGAGCAGCTGTTTGTCCCAGGTGGAGGCCAACGCCGTTCCACAGGGCAGGCAAGCGGCGGGCACGCCGGCGAAGAACTTTGTGCCGCGGATGCCATTGGGGCCGTCAGTCAGGCGAACTGACGGCACGTTGTGCTCCGGAATGGGATAAGTATGCCAAAAATCAATGCCTATATTTCCCCCCCTCACATTATTGATTTAGTAAAATGATATGATGTATATACTCATTGGGGTTAGCTTACCGGACAAGAGAGCAATCTTTTGGTTTTGGGATAGCTGGGCCAGGACGGTCTCGACGTCGAAGCCCAATTTTGTCTGCTGCTGCCACTCGCCCATCTTTGGTTTGATTTGATTTGAGTTTTTCTTCTTCTTTTGATTTGGCCAAGGAACGTAATGTACTATTGCCTTGGGGGAGGGGAGGAAATAAAGGCAAGGTACGTAAATCCGAGTAAAAGGGCAAAAAGGAATGGGGGGTGGGAAAAAAATGTTATAAAATTTTTAGTTATATACTCTTAGCAACCATGTGCGTTATATGTAGCCAGGGGGTTCTCAATGGCAAACGGCAAAAAAGAACCGCAGGACCGCCCGTCATCTGATTGCTGAAGTCCCGTTTAATTGAGTGGGCTGGGAACAGTTTTTTGAATCTCGGAGGTTCCCCATGGAGTGTGGAGTCGAAACTCCAGACTCACGACCAGGATCATCAACCAGATGAGGCTAAACGCAACGCCGACAGGATGATTTCTGGGCTTAATGCAGACTTACTCGGAGCTGATGTGGGGTTACGAGCTTAAACCGCTGTTGCCACCACGAGTTCTCTTCGGGGAGCCTCCCCGAACAATTCCCAAGCTAACAGCCTCCCCCAAACAACCCCAGACTTTTCACCTCCACGATTTTTTGAGGGGAAAGCTAGACTAACGGAATCCCAGGCCCTTGGCGACATCCCACAGCGCTAGCCCGGCCTTGGCAACGGGCCTGACTGGTGGATTCTCCGCAATAGTCTGGTGTTTTTGGCTGAAAAAATCGCCATTGCGCTTACTTGTGGCTCCTTTTGTCCAGACCCGAGAATCGAGATGTTGCAGAAATAAAAAGGAAGGCATCGTCGCCCTCGAAAACTCTTTGCATCCCATCATCTCCATTCCAGCATCACCTTCCTCTTCTGTCGGGTTGATTTTTGCCATCATGAGTTTCCTCAAGCCCACCACCAAGGAGACTGGGGCTTCTGAGCCCATTGTCACCATCATCGCCAACGAGGACAAGGTGCCGTGGTACAAGAAGCCGAACCTGAGATATCTTTACTGTATTCTCTTCCCGGCATGTATGGGCATCGAGTTGACGTCTGGGTTTGATTCCCAGATGATTAACGCTCTTCAGATTGTCCCGTCATGGGTTGACTGTAGGTCATCCTCTAGGCCCCCTATTTGGTAAATATCAATCATGTGCAGTTATAACTTACATGCACTCTAGACTTTGATAACCCTCAGGGATCTCTCAAGGGAATCATTGCGGCAGCATACTCTCTTGGAGCCATCCTGTCGCTGCCTTTCATCCCCATCGTCAACGACAAGTTTGGCAGACGCTGGTCCATCGTGGGCGGCTCCGTCATCATGATTATCGGTGCACTGATTCAAGGTTTCTCCCAGCATGGTTAGTTTTCTCTTCTACCAGATATATTACTTCTCTTCTTCGAATCTTGCCTCTAACAACCTGAATTCATATAGTCGCCATGTACATTGTTGCCCGTATCATCCTCGGCTTCGGAATCCCGACCTGCATCGTCTCTGGCTCGTCTCTCATCGGAGAGCTTGGTTACCCCAAGGAGCGTGCCGTCCTCACATCTCTCTTCAACGTCGCCTACTTCATCGGCCAGATTGTTGCCGCTGCCATCACCTTTGGCACAAACAACATCCCCAACAACTGGGGCTGGCGAATCCCATCTCTGCTGCAGATGGTGCCGTCCGTCATCCAGATTGTCTTTGTCTTCATGCTGCCCGAAAGCCCGCGATGGCTCGTCACAAAGGGCCGCAGCGCCGAGGCCAACGAAATCCTCATCAAGTATCACGCCGAGGGCGATGCAGACTCGGAGTTTGTTCGCGCTGAAATGGCTCAGATCCAGACGACTATTGAGATTGAGACTGAGAACAACAAGAAGAACTGGCTCTCCATCTTTGCCACCGCCGGCATGCGACGACGAACTTTGATCTCTTCATTCCTCGGCTTGTTCACCCAGTGGTCCGGCAACACTCTCATCTCGTACTACCTCGGTGATCTCCTCGCCATGATTGGACAGACCGAGTCTGTCTTTAAGCAAAAGATTAACGTTGCCATTGCCTGTTGGTCTCTGTTTTGCGGTGTCACCGTGTCTCTGCTCGTCAACCGCTTC